CCGCACATATGGCAGTGCACAGTAATTGACATGATTACTCCTGTGACTCATACCATGAAAATACAATTTTTGAGGGAATAACAAAGAGGCATTTAGAAATAAACTCTCAAGTGTTGTTCTATGGGCCAAACTAAATATTACACATATAACCGTCATCTCATTGGATTATGCACCAGCTGGCTTGGATATGGTCGTTTTCCTGCAGTTTAGCTCACTCAAACCAAAGAATTTAAATGAACTAACAGCTGCTGAATGAACACTTTTTACCGTGATTTTCACAATAGCCCACCCTTTCCTTGTGCATCATTAAACCGAGAATCAGCAGTTCAAATACATAGTCTTTCAGGTATTTCCTTGTTTAAATGCACCTGCATTTTTCTGTGGATTCTCAGTGGATTTTTTTTTTTTTCTGAAGAAATACGAGATTCTAGATATACGGGAAATCGCAATGGAAGATGAATTCGATATATGTAAATATATGTAGTAAAAGGTAAAACTCCCGAAATCTCCGTGTAAACATTGCGTGACGTAGATGCGCGAGAGATCACTTCCGGCGTAATGTTGGAGACGGTTCAGTTCGGTTCAGTTGGACATCTGATTCAGATCAGTTCGACGGCTGTTAAGAAGAGGTAAAAACGATATAAATACTGTTCGTTTTCTCACACAAACCGCTCGTTTCGTGTCTTAGGCCATCAGTGTGTACTTACATTTACGAGTCATTAAATCATGCTTAATTTTGACTTCTCTGTGCATGCTCTTTGAGGCGGACCCCCATACCTGCATTATATGACTGACAGACAACAACGGTTTGACCGAAAAATGTCAAAATTGAAAATAATGTGGAAACAAAGACACCTACATCTTGGATGCCCTTGAGGTAAGCTAAAACATATCAAAAATTAATTTCAAAGTGAACTATCCCTTTAAATGTATCATAACTGTAGGACCACTGTGTAACTCTATCTAAGATAGCAGACATTCAAAGGACATTAAATCTGCCATACGATCTGCTGGTGGGATTGTCACGAAGACCTACATGTGTTACACACACTTCTTATAATGAGGGATCTTTTTAAGCAACATAAGCCATCCTCAAAACAATCTTTTCAAGTTCTAAGAGCCAGATGTGCCGGCCAAATGTCGTCTGAATGAAAGTGTCTATGCGTGTCTACACATACCCTTACAGTTGTGTGTACGTGTCTGTGAAAGCTCCCAAGACCCATTAGTGTGGGTTTTGTGGCCCTTGTCACAGACCACCCCGGCTGTCTGGTTCACACTTAACCTACGGGGAGAAACTTGACTCCAGTTTAGCCTCCCAAAGAGGGTTTGAAAAGTGCGCTGGCCTCAGAGGTCCACTCCAACTGACCGACTACAGCAAACTGTCTGTAACCGGCTAGCCAAACATCACACAGACACACTAACACAGAAAGGGATTTAAACAGAGGTGCATGAGAGGATGTATATGTGTGTTTATGAGATTCTGTGTTTGAAACGGTGATATTAAGGATAAACATAGGGTTTATTGTCAGGAAACAGAGCCATTTGTGACCCCTTTTACAACCCCCTTACATGATCTGTACTTCATGCTCCAAAGCAATTTCCGTTTTACAGGGTTGGTGCAAAACATGTTTAATTTCATGGGTAATTCATATTTTATTAGCTGATTAATATTATGAAATATTTTACTATAATGTGATTAATTTCACACCAAAATTCAGTGAAACTATAGGCCTACCAGATTACTTGGTTGTCTGTTAAAATGATATGAATTCCAAACTGCAACAAAACTTAACAACAAATAACTTGGTAAGTCTGTAAACATATCGGATAGGGAGTAATAGTCTTTTGAAAACCCATATTTCTAATCTCATTATTAATTATTAAATTGAATATTGACATATTTCTATGGAGGGTTATAGCCCTGCCCTGGTACTTCTAGCCTGATGGAAAATATATTATTTTATGCAGGACACATTGGGTGTGAATGGAAGGTCACTCATCCGCACATTTACAGATTATGAGGGGTGTTCCTCAGGGGTCTGTTCTGGGGCCACTACTTTTTATTATTATCTATATTCATTTCAATGCTGATGACACAGTGATTTATTGTAGTACACCCAAATTACATCAAGCTGTGTCTTTTACAGTCTGCTTTCGATGTTGTGCAAAGGCTTTCCTGTTCGAATTTGATTATTTATTTATTTTTTTTCAAAGAAACAAGCGGCAAATCTATTATCAGTTAAAGTTACATTCAAGCGGCAATACAAGACTCCTGGTTTTATATTTGATTCATCTTTTTCTTTTAAGGGCTAAACTCAAGATGGAACTCAAAGAATTTTTTACATTTTTAAGTTAAAAATAAAGCCTGTTTTTCATTTGAGGCAAAAAAGAGATTAGAATCTGCCACCCAGAGGTGGACAAAGTACCCAACTTCCTTGAATGTACAGCTTGAGTGAATGTACAGATACTAAATATTACTCCGTTATAAGTAAAAGTTGTAAATACTTATTTTTACTTAAGTGAAAGTACAGAACTCATTAGTACCAAAGGATCAAATGCAAAAATTAAATAGCTGCCTACCTACCCTCATATCTATATCAAATTTATTTCTAGAAAACAGTTCCAGTGGGATTGAATGTGAGATTGAATAATGTAAAGTACAAGTAAATGTACTTTGTTACTGTCAAAATGGTGATGTTTATGGTGATGTTTAGTACAAATTAGCACGTGTTTATTTGACATTCTTTATGTGCTCTCAGGTTTAAAACAAATTGTAATTTCAGAACTCATCATTCTGAGCTGTATTATAAAATATGTTTGTCCTCATTATCAGACTGAAGCACCTGTTCATTTACAAATCTATTTTGGGTCTATTGCCATCATGTCTTTGTTCTGTTGCCAGGACTCTTATATAAAAAAGTAGATTTTTAATCTCAGAAAGTTTATAAAGGATTTTGTTTTGTTGTTCATGCAATGGAAGTCAATGGGAACTGAAACTGCCAAAAATCACTGTGTTGCGTGTATAAATTATGAGAAAAGAAAGGGAGTGAAAAAAATATATATTTCTGGCACAATTAAAATGATTTCCTGACAAAGAAAAAATGAGTCAAAGAAAGACCAAAAAAATGAAAGAAGAAAGGAAGTAAGAAAGTGAAGAAGGATGTGATCAATCACCAAGTTAACTGTTGAAGATAAGGAGAGTTTATATTGTTTGATGGAGTCTGGGATTAATTAGCAGTAGAGCTCTCAGTGTGTGACACCAGTGCTTGGCCTTTCACAGCTCATTACTGTGTGTCCAATCAGTGCAGGCTAGTGTGACTGCTGTTTATTTATACACACAGCCAGCCATGGCAGCCATTTGGCAGTTTTCTCCACTGGGGAGCCTTAAACACTCCCACATTGAGCTGAATCTGGACGGACACATTTTGGCAACACAGGCCATACTAAGACTACCCCCCCCCCCCTTTTTTTATTATTGTAAATTAGGCTACTGAAAATACAATTAAACACACGATGGTGTATAACACTAGATGGGACACTCCTGGCTGGTATGCATGTATTTCTGTCTTGATCAGTGCTTTGCATTGATCAAAAGTGACAGTAAAGGCCATTATAAAGTTTCTATTTCAAATAAACGCATGCGGTTCTTTTAAACTTTCACACTGTAAAAATGTTTTGTTGGTTTAACTTAAAAAAAATAAGTAACCTGGTTGCCTTAAAATTTTAAGTTCATTGAAATGGAAAAATTGAGGTAATACAATGAAGGAGATTGATTTAATCACCAGAAACTCTAAATATTATGTTATCTGAACTACAGAAATTATCTAAGTTGATTTGACAAAAGAAAAAATGTTGTGATAACAAATCATGAAAATATTATTTGTGTACTCATTAAAGAATCTTGAAAAAAAAATATCACGGTTTCCACAAAAATATATATGTTTTCAACATTGACAATAATAATAAAACAATCTTGAGCACCAAATTGGCAAATTAGAATGATTTCTGAAGGAAAGTTGAAAATTCAGCTTCACCATCAGAGGAATTACATCTTGAAATATATAAAAATAAAACGTTATTTTTAAATAGTAATTTTGCCATGTTGTTTTTACTGTATTTTTGATACAGCCTGGGTGCATAAAAGACAAAAAAATCTTACCTCTATCTTGGTTGATTGGTAGTGTACGTCCTAGGAATTTTGAAAAAAAAAATTCAATAACCATGAATTTTAAAGATTCAAATTATAATTACCCCCCCCCACACACACACACACACACACACACAATAACAATTAAGTGAAGTGAACTGTGAATAATTTCATGTTTAAAGTTCACTTTGAAATTAATTTTTGATATGTTTTAGCTTACCTCAAGGACATCCAAGATGTAGGTGTCTTTATTTTCACAGTATTTTTAATTTTGACATTTTTTGGTCAAACCGTTGTTGTCTGTCAGTCATACAATGCAGGTAACGTTATGGGGGTCCGCTCTCAAAGAACATGCACAGAGAAGTCAAAATTAAACATGATTTAATGACTCGTGAATTTAAGTACACACTGATGGGCTAAGACACGAAACGAGTGGTTTCTGTGAAAAAACGAACAGTATTTATATAGTTTTTACCTCTTGTTAACAGCCGTCGAACTGATCTGAATCAGATGTCCAACTGAACCGAACTGAACCGTCTCCAGAGTCCAGACGTTGCGCCGGAAGTGATCTGTTGCAGCATTAGTTGTTTACACGGAGATTTAGGAAGTTTTACCTTTCACTAAACATATTTAAATATATCGAAATCGTCTTAAAAAATAAAAAAATCCTTCACATTAAAAAAAATGGCAATTCCAGATATTTCTTAAGTCCCGTTAAAAAAAAAATTTCTTGTGAATAGGCCCTATTGGTTTAATTTTTGACTTCAATATATACTGTATATTATTTCTGTTAAAGAGTTTTCACTTTATACTTTTTTTTAATGGCCCAAAGGATAGAAACAGTACAAGAAAGTTGTGTTTTTTTTAATTATTTTTTTATTTAAGTTATTATTATAAACACTTTACACATTAGAGACAGGACAATACCTCTCTCGTTGGTTTCAAGGTATGTTCAAATAGGAAATTCAGGGCACTTGGGGAAAAATACAATGCAGAACACCGCACAATATTAACAACATCATCTGAAATGCAATGACTAATATCTGATACAACCATGCGCCCATGTACAACACATACAGACAAATAAATAAATCCCCAACAATCTGACGATCCCTTTAAACCAGCCCATATTCCTCATTATTCTGTCAAGAAAACAATGTATTTACAAACCAAATATATTACCTTTTGTTTTGTTTCTCTTACATGGAGGACATTTGATTCAATCCAAGCTCTTGGAGACCCCACTCAGACATTCACCTTCACTGATCTACAGTCAAAGCGGAGGGTGATTGCCCTCTATTGGCTTGAAATGTAATTGCACAACAGTGTGAGTTGATGGTAAACAATGTGCATGCATACCATGCATTCAAGACAACACTATACGACATCCAAACAACTGCAGCATGAACTGACTCTAATACAAAACAAGCATTATCCACACAACACATCTACTGACAGGGTGCACAAACTTATGAACGCTAACCCAGAGAGTCATGGGAGGATAACAGCATGCTGACAAGGGTTTGCTCGCTCTAAAATGGGAAGGTTACTACTATACGACTAAAGGCACTTTAAACAGGGGAAGAGACATAGTTCCAGTTTCCACATGTGAGGATGTCACAAACACTATTAATACTCAATTTATCCATACAGGATGAACACAAAACCAAGTGCAATAGATGGGAACATACGACAGGAACAGGCCCAGAACAGAACTGATTGATTTTCAGAAAACATTGATTTTGTTGCCATTGATATATTGAAATACTGATATTGTTAGATTGTATTTTTGTTCATTATTTGTCATTGAACTTGCCCAAAGGACACTTTTAGTACATAAAGGTAGCAGGAAAGATTTAAAGGAAAGAAACTAAGGGAATATTTTAACTGACTGGGATTTGAGGATGTGTTTTGCATCACATTCACATCACACAATATGAATTCCGTATAATAGATGATGACAGATACTGTGTCTTATGATGCTTGAAAACTGTGAGCCATATTGCTATTCCAGTATAGGTGCTTATTTTGACACGTTGTGGCATTTTCAACAAAGATGAACCGTTTCCACACTGCAGCTGGACACCGAAGCATCATGGGGATTTGGCTGATTTATGCCAACCATTTTAGTTGCATGATTTCTGTATTGGTGAGAATAGTAGGGTGATGATAGAGGCGAAACCGTGTTGGCATTTGTGGAATACTGGTCATTAGAGATCATGGATGTGCTGATGGTAGAGTTTAGATGATTTTGGATATTCACTCTGCAGCCATCTGCTCAATGTGATCACACAGCAGCTTGTTTTGCTCTGAAAGGAGATAATAAAAAGCGTGAATCGTATTAATACATACATATCATTCAAAAGTTTGGGGTCAAGAATTTTTTCAGCAGTGATGCATTAACTTGTGACAGTAAATACATGTTTCTATTCTAAATTAATTATTTTTTCGGGAGAATCTCAATTTCCAAGAAAATATTAAGCAGCATAACTGTTTTTAACGTTGATAATAATGTCCAAAACAGCATATTTAGAATGATTTCTGAAGGATCACGTGACACAGAAGACTTGAGTAATTGCTTCTGAAAATTCATATTTAAAAGGAGTAGTTCACTTTAAAAAAACTTTTGCTGATAATTTACTCACCCCCCATGTCATCCAAGATATCCATGTCATTCTTTCTTCAGTCGAAAAGAAATTAAGCTTTTTGATGAAAACATTCCGCATTTTTCTCCACATAATGGACTTCAATGGGAACCAAACAAATTTTCGCCTTGCTCTGTTCTGTGATGCACGTTCCTGACTCTCCTATTCGAACTTGTTTACCAAATGAACTAATCTTTTTTCGTGTCATTTGGTTCATTCAACGAACGAAATGAACGAGTTGACTTGGGAAAAGATTTGTTCATTTTGATGAACAAATTCGAATAGGAGAGTCACGAATGTGCATCATACAACAGAGCAAGGTGACCATGTGAGCTTATAAAACTTAAACTTTTTATTAAATTTTTAAAATTTAAAATTTTTTTAAATGAGCGATCGTTTCGCTTGATAAGACCCTTATTCACCGTCTAGTGTCGTTTAAATCCCTTTGAACATTTTGCAGTTTTCACTGAAATGGTCTTTTGGACCTTGAACCGTTTGGTTCCCATTGAAGTCCATTATATGGAGAAAAATCCTGGAATGTTTACATCAAAAACCTTAATTTCTTTTCGACTAAAGAAAGAATTACATTGATATCTTGGATGACATGGGGGTGAGTAAATTATCAGCAAAAGTTTTTTTTAAAAGTGAACAACTTGACAGGAATAAATTGCATTTTAAAATATATTAATATAGAAAACCTTTAAATTGTAATAATTTTATTTCACAATATTACGATTTACTGTATTTTTGATCAAATAAATACAGTTTCGGTGAGCATAAGAGACATCATTTAAAAACATAAAAAAATATCCCAAACATTTGAACAGTACTGTAATTAAGCTTACAAACCTAATGAAATTTAATTATTTTTAATTCGGAAAATGACACTACCTTCATTCAGATTTCCAATGACTGCCTGCTTCTTCAGGAAGTCATTGCAAAGTTTCTTGCTCAGTCCAAATGCCACCATGTTATGAGTGAATGTCCTACACAAACAGAACAAATATATATGAGCATATGAACAATGCAGTAAACATTGTGTTCGTCATTGTTGTATAAAACTCACCCCAGTTGACCGAAGGTGATGTTCTCATCAAATCTGGAGCTATCGTCTTTTTCTTCCTGGGTCATATGACACCACTTTTCTCTAAAAGGTACAAAGAACATGGAGGTCAAGGTCAGAGGTCAATGATATTTGACCTTTTTTTTTTACTCTCATCAAGCACGAGAGACCATCAATAATGAATGTAGAAGTTCACTCAGAAACTTTTTAAACATTACCATGAATACTGGGAGGTTATAGAATTAAAAATGTGTAAAAACAATCACACAAAAGGACAAATGTGTATTAGCCATACATTGATGCTCATGCAAAATCCAACAAACATTTCAGAATAAGTATTAGTGAGCAGTCAACTGTAGCCATGATTCACAATAAATCAAAACAAAAACAAGACACTACTTTAAATAATAAAGAGCATATGTCCAACACAGAACCACAGTATAATTCAGCTCACAAACAGGAAAAAATGCTCAGGCAAACAAACCAATATGCATTTTTTTTCCTATGTAAAAAATGTTCCTTTGTGGTTTGAGTGTAAGTGTCATATTTTTTACCCAGTTTTATTGCCTGACAGGTGAAGTCTGAACACTTAAAAAGGCAATTACACACCTCCCTTCAACAAGCCAAATGATTTGAGGAATCATTTATGTCAGTAGCACAAACGGGACGAATTACATGCAATGCCAAAGTTTAATATCTACAGCTGGGGATCTGAACGAAACCCTAACAGCAAGTATGAGCACTAGTAATAGTGATACTTCACTTACTGCAGCAAACGCTACTAATAATTCAAGCTGTTTTCGCTTAGCAGTTTACATTTCAGTGAATAGGAATATAATACACTCTGAATGCATGCGATGATAGAGAAAATAATGCAGGAAAAGTCAAAAGACCGTTCTCGACTGATTCCAGAACATCATAGACATCCATTTTACATTGGACATCAAGTGGTGGTGACCCAAAAACACTTCCAAAATTGTCTATCGTTCAACGTAAACAAAAATGTCCCCAGTTAAACATTGAAATGTATTAATATCATTGTTTTCAATAATGAGGGCATGTCATGCAAGCTGTCCATGCAGGCCAGATGAAGTTGATATACCGTGCCAGAATACTGTGTTAGATTGAATGCTTTTGAAATCAACAACAAAAAGGCCTATTTATTTGACTATACTAACTGCATGAGTGTACTGTTCTTTGCATTTATCAATGTTTTCCCTTGCTGTCAGAATAGATGTGACTCATTTTTGTGTCACAATCCATTAGTATTTTACTTTTAATAAGGTACACTGTGTCTTTGAGAGCAAAGTTAAAGTTGTGCAAGCATTATGTTAAGGCAAATGTGAGTCAGTGCTTTTTTGGTGGACAGTGCTCTTTTCAGTTTCCTTTGAGTACAGATGAAAATGTTATCAGAATGTTACACAGCTTCCTGACTGGATACTGCGCTGATAGATACTGCTTATTGTGAATATCTAGCTGAAATATGTCAAGGGTTCCTAATCTTTTGACCCACAAATTTCCCAGACGTGATAATTACATTCAAAACAAAGTATTTCTATTTGTTTTTAGTGGAGCATAACTAGAAAAAAAGTACAATATATAATTTTACATAGGCTACCCTTCAAAAGTTTGAGGTCAGTAAGATTATTTTTAAGAAATTGTTTTATTAAACAAAAACACATTAAATTGATTTAAAGTTACAGTATAGTAATAAATACAGTTAACACAAAAGATTTATACTTCAAATAAATGCTGCTCCTTTTAACTTTTAAAGAATCATGAAAAAAATCATCATGATTTCCAATACAAAAATATTAAGCAGCACAACTGTTTTCAACACTGATAATAATAATACATTTTTCCTGAGCAGCAAATCGGCATATTAGAATGATTTCTGAAGGATCACGTGACACTGAAGACTGCAGTAAAGCTGAAAATTCAGCTTTAACATCACAGGAATAAATTATATTTTAAAATATATTAAATAGAAAACAATTGTTTTAAATTGTAATAATATTGTAATGTTTTTTGATCAAATAAATGCAGCCATAGTGAGCATAAGAGACTTCTTTTACCACAAAAACCTTAAATGGTAGTTTATAAGAAATAATACATTTATGTTTTGATATTTTATCATTATATTAGTTTTTATTCTTTTTTTAGGTCTGGAAATCACAGAATTTATTGGATATTGCCAAGCTTTCCATGGCTGTTAGAACCCTGCGCATATTATATGTATATAAAACGCAGTTTCAATTCTGTCAGTGTATCATCCTTTCCCTAAACTCCCTTTCACTCTCAGTTCTTTCTAACTGATCTAACTCCACTCCCCCTCCTTTTTAATCCGCCTTTCCCGTCTAGCAGTGTCCAGGGCAGCAGACGGAATGAAGGACAGACCTTTCATCTTTCTCTTCCTCAGCCGTCCGCCTGCGCGAGGCAGCAAGGCACAGGGAGAAAAAGGGTTAAAGTCACATGCATAGAGAGAGAGAGAGAGCCACATAAAGAAAGAAAAGACAAGAGAGGATGATGAGCAGTGTGGAAGAGTAAACCATAAGAGCACAGAGAGAGGCTGCAGGATCCAGACATAAGTACAAACACACCATAACACTGTCACGCACCTCGCCTGAAACATCTAGCTAGTTTATTTCAACATCACTAACAATCTATCAAACACACTGTAAACTCTCAATCTCTCCCTCTGGCTTTAACAGACACACAAACAAACAAGCAGTCTAAACAAACACGCAATCTAACATGTGCTTTTGGGTGCTGTGCGAAGTCTGTTTTGTTTAATAGCACGATATATTAGGAGAAAGAGAAAAGAAACCCACTATAGAAGTAATAAGAATTACATAGTTAAAAAGCTGCGCTCTCTCACCTCGTGGTGGGGGATCTTTTATTTCTCTCACAATGGACGGCATCAAAAAACGCTGCGTTCCAAAACCTCAAAGTGTGCCTTTTAAAAAATAGAGACAAGCAGACCAACATTAGCATCTACAGTATGTGTGACAAAGGATCTGACATTGTGTCTGAACAAAGGTAGAATAACATTTTACATTAACACATCTGCCTCCTTTCCTGATAGGTTTAGTTTTACAAACTTAAAATATTTTCTGTGGTAATGCGACATTCTGTCATTATTTTCATCACCATTAAGTATTTCTCTGCCCAATTACTGAAAGTCCAAAAAAAAAAAAAAAAAATACCATAGTCTTTAATACTATGGTACTATTTGTTGCAGTAAATTTATTTAATGCTGATTTTTAATAATCGTATCACTATTGTAACAAAAATATTAAGCAGCAATACAGTTTTTGACTTGTTTCTTGAGCACCAAATCAACGTATTAGAATGATTTCTGAAGGATCATGTGACTCTGAAGACTGAAGTAACGATATTAAAAATCACAGGAATTAATTAAAATGTAATATATTAAAATCCCATAAATGAAAACATTTTAGGATAAGTTTTAAAGATTTAAAGTAAAAATAAAGATTTTCAACAATGTCATTTTTTATGACAATTAAGTATTTCTCTTCCCAATTTACTGTGACGCAAATATTTATATATTACTTAAATTTTAAAATATTTAAATATTATGGTACTATTCCTTGTAGTAAATTTGATCAAATAATTATCATTACTCGTTACTGGTTTATCGTAATGCAAATAGCATTGTATTTTTTAGGGCTGTCAAACGATTAATCGCGATTAATCGCATCCAAAATAAAAGTTTGTGTTTACATATTTTGTATATATATATACACATGCATGTTTATTTAAGAAAAAATATTATTTATATATAAAATACTTATATATAATATAAATTATAAATAAACCTATACACAGTATATACATGAAAATATTTCTTAAGCATATGTGTGTATTAATATATATAAAATAATTATACACAGTGCACCCACATATACTATTATGTAAACATAAACTGTTATTTTGGATGCGATTCATCGCGATTAATTGTTTGACAGCCCTAGTATTTTTTAACCTTACAGAGAATTCCCAATTTTATTTTAAATTTTAGAATGATAACAATAAAATGATACAAAATCAAATTTCTTTTTTTATTTTGCCATGAAATATGATTGAAATTAATTGATTCTGATGAATATGTCTGATGAACAGTAATTTTTTGTAGACACTGACAGTATGCCACAAACACAGTCAATAACTGCAATGAATTGTAAAAACCAAGAATATTCCTTTAAAATGCTGATTATGTGAAAGGATACATTTTAGACCACGACAGCTGTTAGTTTCAACATTTTTGCAGGGAAAGAACGATTGACAACCTACCAAATGGGCTGCTGTTTCAGGTGTGTGTACAGGTAAATTTTCTCCTCTTCTTTTCTATCCGGGGAGAGAGGGGGAGAAACTACAGGGCACACAAGCAGAGATAAGACCAGTTAAGAATACTCAACACCAACACATGTCTACAGAGACAATCCCTGTGGGTTGAGTGTCTTGCTCAACAGCATACTAGTGGTTGCATTGAATCGTTTGGGTAATCTCACCACCACTATACATATAAAAAAACCTAAGTGAGATATCTAAAAACTGGTAACTACACACAGTGATGGTACATGAACTACTGTACCTGGAGTTTTGGTTTTCTGTTCAACAGGCCTGTCTGAGTCTCTGAGGAGGACAGAATAAAAACAAAACGAGTTTGTGAGTGTGAATAAAAAGTGTTATTAATAGCGATGACAGAAAATCACTCACTCATTCTTTCGGCCCAAGGGTCCTCTCAGTTTGCTCTCCAGACCCCCAAAAAATCCTTTAACGTCAGACTTAGCGGAGGTGTTTTTGAGCATTCGCTCCGCGATATCCTTCTTCCCAGACAGCCAGACCTTTCCACTGCGCAGGTACGAGTCGATCCCCCCGCTGGGCCTCTCCAACAGCTCTGTGGGAGACAGCTGGGACTTACCTGTCACACACACATATATTCATTAGAAATTAAAATGAAATTAATTGAAAAGGCACACTAGGCAGTCACACTCTGTGTACCTGTATATTAAGAGTAAGAATCTTTAGGCATAACAATATTAGATTTCGATTTACAGAGTCACGATCTGATTCCAAAACGACTCTCAACATCCATGACAAGTCAAATCTTTAGACATTTTTAAGTGTTGAATATAATGCATATAATGGATCTGTGTATACTTTTTTAAATCAAGTAAATCACACAGCTATAGTGGGGTTGATGAGATTTTTTTTATGTTTTTGAAAGAAGACTCTAATGCTCACCAATGCTACATTTATTTGATCAAAAATACAGTATAATTGTGAAATATTACTACAATTCAAAATAAATTTTCTATTTTAATACTTTTTAAAATGTAATTTATTTCCGTGGTGGCATTTCAGTGTCACATGATACTTCAAAAATAATTCTAATAAGGTTCTCAAGAAACATTTCTTCTTATAATCAATATTGAAAACAGTTAATATTTTTATGGAACCCATGATGCCTTTTTTCATGTTTCTTTGGAGGATAGAAAACAACAGCATTTGTTTGAAATAGAATCTTTTGCAACTTTATAAATGTCTTCACTGTCAATTTAATGCATTCTTGCTGAATAAAAAACAAAACAAAATATTACTGACCCAAACTTTTGAACTATAGTGTATATCCATGTTTCCACCCTCCCCAGTTTTTGGTTTAAAAAAATACATTGCCAACACAGTTGTCCACAGTTTCCATCTAATTTGCCGAAACAATACGCGGCAATGCCAGCAGAGTCATACACTGGATGTTTCTTTTTCAGATTACATTCCACACAGTATGATTAATATTAAAGGTTAAACTTCCTTACCCATGTAGTAATATGTGAAGCACATGGTCATGAGGTGTTTGGCGGGAGCATAATCATCCACCTGGTGACATCTGTGAATCAATAAAATCTGGGTCACATGTGCATCACACACATGGCACACATGCAAAAACAATCACCATCTATACTCTTAAATAAGACACTATTTGAGGGAACAGCCATTTGTAGTGGCATCTGAAACCAAACTGAACGTTATTGAGTGCACTCATTCAATCCCATAATTCACCGCAATATTGAGTGTACAAATGATGTACACTCAATGGCTAGAGAATACTCATAATGCACTGTGAGTGTTGTGCAATTGAATCATTGGTATACATTTCTATTTAATTGATTATAAATAGTTTAATTAAGGTTTATGCATGCTAGTTTCCATGACAGGGTCAAGATAAATGTTTTCATTACTACTGGAGCTGTCAGTTTGCCAAGTTTCAAATGATTATTAAATAGCAAGAACAAACAACGCAAAAGCGGCCCTTCCGGCTCATTCAGTGTCGAATTCACTCACTCGTTTTCGTTCACTCTTTCAAGGCGACTATATTAGTGGAGTACTGTAGGGAATAGTGAATGAGGGTATAGGGGGCGGTATTGTCATGTTTGCAAGGCGCCCTTTTATACTTCCAGGTCTGAAGCAGCTCTCAGATGGTTTGGAGTGGCTTCCATGTAATGTCAAACATAAACCCTAGATAGTATCGCTGTACTTAGACTACTTACTCAAACAGAACAACAGCAAATGACTGCACCAGCCTGTAGAAAGTCTGTTCGCTCACACATTTGGAGTGGCAGCGCTGTAAACACAACACATGGTTATCATCACGACAGTGTTTGTTTATGCACATGTACACTCACCTAAATACTTATTAGGAACAAATGCTCAATTTCTCATTAATGCAATTATCTAAATCAACCAATCACATGGCAGTTGCTTCAATCCATTTAGGGGTGTGGTCCTGGTCAAGACAATCTCCTGAACTCCAAACTGAATTTCAGAATGGGAAAGAAAAGGTGATTTAAGAAATTTTGAACGTGGCATGGTTGTTGAAGGGCCGGTCTGAGTATTTCACAATCTGCCCAGTTACTGGGGTTTTCACACACAACCATTTCTAGGGTTTACAAAGAATGGTGTGAAAAGGGAAAAACATCTAGCATGCGGCAGTCCTGTGGGCGAAAATGCCTTGTTGATGCTAGAGGTCAGAGGAGAATGGGCCGACTGATTCAAGCTGATAGAAGAGCAACTGTGACTGAAATAACCACTCGTTACAACCGAGGTACTGTGTGCAGCAAAGCATTTGTGAAGCCACAACACGCACAACATTGAGGCGGATGGGCTACAACAGCAGAAGACCTCACCGGGTACCCCTCATTTCCACTACAAATTGGAAAAAGAGGCTTTTGGTGAGCAGGAGCTCACCAAAATGGACAGTTGAACACTGGAAAAATGTTGCCTGGTCTGATTTCTGTTTCTGTGAATTTGGCATAAACAGAATGAGAACATGGATCCATCATGCCTTGTTACCACTGTGCAGGCTGGTGGTGGTGGTGTAATGGTGTGGGGGATGTTTTCTTGGCACACTTTAGGCCCCTTAGTGCCAATTGGACATTGTTTAAATGCCACGGCCTACCTGAGCATTGTTTCTGACCATGTCCATCCCTTTATGGCCACCATGTACCCATCCTCTGATGGTATACTTCCAGCAGGATAATGCACCATGTCACAAAGCTCTAATCATTTCAAATTGATTTCTTGAACATGTCAAAGAGTTCATTGTACTATAATGGCCCCCACAGTCACCAGATCTCAGCCCAATAGAGCATTTTTGGATGTGGTGGAACGGGAGCTTCATGTCCTGGATGTGCATCCCACAAATCTCCATCAACTGCAAGATGCTATCCTATCAATATGGGCCAACATTTCTAAAGGATGCTTTCAGCTCCTTGTTGAATCAATGTCACGTAGAATTAAGACAGTTCTGAAGGCGAAAAGGGGTCAAACACAGTATTAGTATTGTGTTCCTAATAATCCTTTAGGTGAGTGTACATTATTGCATGAGTTTTCTTGATCTTTCAGAAAGACTGTGTGATCTGATCTGTACATCAGTCTACATGGACTGTGCTTGACGTTTATATAGATGTGCATATTAGGAAAATTATGGCCGATATTTATATTCAGATAACCAATAAACGGGCAATTATTTAAGTAAAAGATTATTATAGATGTATTATATTATATATAAATTATAATAAAAAACCCTAAAATTAATGGTTTTAAAAGCAACAAATGAATTTAGGCATCACAAAAATGGATATTCAATTTAAGGTCTGTTACATTAAAGTTACATACAGTTTTGTGTTAATAAAGATTCGTTTTAAAATTGGCTGACGATAACCATTATGGTAATGCTCTTGTGCATCCCTACAACGTTTTAGTCATTTTAACAGCCATGTAGTCAAGCAATTTTTACCACATTTCTCAAACAATGGGTGTGTAGTTCACACCATTATTGTGTTGCTTCATAAAATCCCATATTGCAGAAAAATGTGTTGCTAAATAGGTTTGCAGTACATTTGCAATATGTTTTCTGCTATGTTTAGTATGACACAGCAATACTACTTGTAAAGTAGTTAAACTCTTTAGTGCGATTTTTGAGACAGCACTACGGCACTCACACGGTGCAAACAACAATGTACTAAAAACAGAAACATTTTTCATTTTTAAGGTTTTTTTTTAAACATTTTTCACCACATTATTTATATTTTATTTTAGTTCAGCTTTATTTGAATGATTGAAAAGGATTTTGAGTAGTTTTACGTTTACCTCTGGTGGAGAATGTGCGAAACAGGTCTAAACCATCACCTAAAATGTCACTATAACCAATCCCAAAATTAAAAATTATTTTACAAAAGAAGTCATCATGATTAATTACAGTTGCACCTTTCATACCTGTGCACTGACATATTTCGAGAACCACTCCCTGCCTTTCCCGTTCTCTCCAGTGCACAGCTCTCCAAAGCGAGCTTTCTCCTCCTGATCAAAGTCCTCCCTGAGAGAGGGAAAAAGAATAAAAGGAACCAGTGGGAGGAAGAGAAAGGCAAATGGGTAGGGAGAGTGAGAGAGTACTTGAAACAACAGGATAAAACACATACACATGCATCAGTTGATATGGGACTATAATTCACTGTGAAGTTTTATTCTCATTCAAGGGAATAGTTCAAAATTCTGTCATCGTTTACTCGCCCTCATGTAGTTCCAAACCTGTATGACTTCCTTACTTCCGTGGAGAACAAAAGTAGATTTTCAATACAACAAAAGTACACAGTGACAACTGGCTGTCAAGCTCCAAAAAAGCCCCAAAAAAAGCAGTCTCTTACACTTTATTCTAAGCGTTCTAAAGCTAAACAATAGCTTTGACGGAGGAATAGACTGAAATTTAAGTGCGTCTGTTTTTTTCTGATCTGGTGTGAATGGGATTTGCAGAAACTGCAGAAATTTTCAGTAGATAAAAACATACATTTGGCCTGTTCGTCACAAAGATACAGCATATTATGGCCTCAGATAACTTGAGAGCTTATCTTATGGCCTCAGATAGCAGGGCATGCAGGTACTTTTACTGTGCTTTTTTAGTACTTTCTGGAGTTTGATATCCATTTGTCACTGTAGTTATAATGAAAATAGTGGCATGAACATTCTGTGAAACATCTCTTTTTCTGTTCTTGGAATGAAAGATGTCTTTAAGCTTTAGTTTGTGAAGCAAATCACCTTCCATGGAAGAGCTTTGCCACATAGGTTTTCATGAACGCTCGTATCTCCGTCTCCTCCGCGTCCTCAGTACTGTGACTGGAGCAAGACGAGGACCGCCGCGTGCTCGACGGGTGTGATGGCGAATCTGCGCCCTCGTTCTCACTGTCGGCAGATTCGGTGGCATCACTATCGTCTTCACTGTGGGAAGTATGTGTGGGGGCCATGGGCTCTGGAAGAAGGGGCTCCATGGTGACGTCGCTCGCAGGCTCAGGGACGAGAGGCTCGGATGAGAAAAAGTCCGCCCCACTGGAGGGTACGAGAACAGAGGGCGCTGTTCCTTCTGGGGGCGAGTCAAATTCTATGAGGTTGTTCACCACGGCCCCCTCCATGCTTTGTTATGGGGGTAATTCAGTCAATAGGCAGGAGATATGATGATGTCAGCTCAAAAACCCACAGATGGCACAATCTTTGTTACTCCACAATTTCGTCACAGCAGGACCTGAAAAAAAAAATTAATGTTATAAACAGATCAAATAAATTATTAAATCAATTACATTTCGAACAACAATATATATATATATATATATATATATATATATATATATATATATATATATATATATATGTTTGCAAGATGTATGCTTTCCAAGGCTGCATGTATTTAATCAAAAATAAAAGCAGGATTTTGTGAAATATTATTACAATTTAAAGCAACAGAAATATTTTACATTGACATTTATTCCTGTGAATTTTCAGCATTACTCCAGTCTTCAGTGTCACATGATCCTCAAGATATCATTATAATACGCTGATTTGGTGCTCAAGAAACATTTGAAGAGTTCAGATGCAAAAGCCTCTAAATGCCATTTGAAATTGTCTTCTTTAATGATGATTTTTATGAAACCTGTATATTTAAGTTCAGTAATTTCACTTAAATAACAATTAATAGGTAATTATCATTGCCATTTAAGTGAAATTACTGAACTTAAATATACAAGTTTGATAAAAATCATCATTAAAGAAGAAAATTTCAAATGGCATTTAGAGGCTTTTGCATCTGAACTCTTCATTTATATTTATTTATCAATGAGGAAAATTTATAAATATTTTATCAGAATTCATTTTTTTTTTACAAATAGAATACAGAGGTCAAAAGAACAGGATTCATTTGAAATTAAAATTAAAATCTATTGTAACATTATATAGGTCTTTATTATGACTTTTTTTTATCAATTTAATGCATCCCTGCAGAATAAATTTTTTTTTAAACTTACTGACACTAATCTTTTGAACAGTAGTGCATTTTATATTTTAATGTTTTTTTTATTAGTTATATATAATTATTACATTATAAAAATACATACTAATATACATGTATATATAATAAATAATGTAAAAATTCAAAACATTTTCATGAAGTGTAACATCCTCTTCTGTCATAAACTTCCTTGCAGCTGTGTTTATACAGACTGACCACAGCATGAGGCAACACAGAGTCCGTCAGATCCTGATGTTAGATTATAAAATCCAATGCACAGAATCTCAGTGCAAACGTATGTGTGTCTATGTCCTGCTAATGAAGCACCAGGCATAGCATAATGTGTCTGTGTCTTCCACTCTCAGAAATAATCAGAAAACAAATAGATTAAAAATAAATCTCAAATTAAAAAAAAAATATTCTCCTGCAGACCAGTATAAAAGATGCCCCATTAAATATGGTAATGCTTATTGGCTTGATATCATGGATACATTTTAATTTACACAAGTACTTAATCTTGCCTCTGTGAAAATACCATCTGCTTCTCATTCACCCGAAGACGAGTGACACGTGTTTTCTTCTCAAACGAAAGGCTAGTTCGCTCTGCCCCAACAGACGCTAAGTTAGTGTTAAATTCAATGTGACGTGAAATTGCCAATTGCAAACCAATCCTTAGCACGACATATTTCAAAATGAAACCAGATATGGGGGAAAAAAACTCCATAGGAACAGATCATGAATAGTAGTTATTTGGCTATTGGTTAACATTATCCAGTGATAACCAGTGTGAACCAACCTTAAAATGCAGTGAACCTTGCAAGGCTACCATAGCTTTTCTTAACAGTGGCTTCAAGTCAAAATGAATGAAAATTGAATGAATTCTGCATAGAAGGGCAATCAATATATGCTATATAGATATACCCGCATTATTTTTACAAGGCCAGAAACTAAATTCCCTTAGGTTTTGGAAAAAGCAATAGGGCTGAGAGGATGGTTATGTAATGCAGAGCTGGAGGAGCGTGACTTGGCTGGCATACGCGCTTACAAGTGCACACAAACACAACCCCACAGTGACCAGAGTCAGAGACTGTGTCAACTGCATCTGCTTTTTTTCTTCACACTTATCTTTAAGAAGCACAAGGTGGAAAAGAAACTGTGTTGTTGGTGTGAGCAGTATGCCGCAAACCTTATGTCACAGTAGGCTATATCACATTTTTTAATTCTTCAAATTTTTTTTATTTACTTCAAAAGCATGTGGTAGTTGGTAATCTAGGGAATTAAATACTACAAACCAATTTTTTATAGTGATTTTTTTCCTTTTTTTTTTTTTTTTTTTAAGATTTGTGGCCCATATCTAAAGATACCAAACCTCTACACATTGCTGCTTCTCTTGAGCTTTATAAATCTTAGCATTCGAGGGTAAATGCTCATGCTGTGATATCCCTTCCTCCCTGCACTGGAGCACTTCACTCTCTTTCTCCTCCATCCATCCATGCAACAAAACGCCCCTTCATCATGAGCCTCGAGGCTCAAAGCAGAGGTGCTGCTGTCAGAGTGATGGGACACAGATGAGTTGGAGTGGGGGAGTGAGCGGGTCCACTGGTTTAAGAGACTCAATAGGTTAGGGTTACCAAAGCACTGCAGGGATATCGCGATAGTCAGCAGTGCAGACAGAAAGATAATTACATGGGTGATAAATGTCTCAGGGACATTGATATTGGGTTGGCTTGTGGGCAAGGTCAAGTCGGTCAAAAAAAAAAAAAGAAAACTACTGAGCTAGAACAGTCAGATGTTTTAGCCCAGATGTTATATTGAACATCAAATGGTGACCAGTAGAAGAATTTATCACACACAAGCAAACAAAAATGGTTTTAAAAGTAAACATTTAAATATATTAAATTCCATTCAATTTAAAAAAAATCCACAGCATTCCACAGCATTTATATAATAATATAAATAATAATAATAATTTAATTATATTATTAAACTGTAAAATAATATTGTTGGTTTAACTTAAAAAAGTAAGTAACCTGGTTGCCTTAAAATTTTAAGTTGATTGAGTTAATACAATATAGGAGATTAATTTAATCATCAGAAGAAACTCAAAATAATAAGTTATCTCAACTAAATAAATTATTTAAGTTGATTTAACAAAAGAAAAAATGTTGTGATAACAAATCTTGAAAATGATTTTTTTACAGTGTACGTGTAACAATAATATTCATTTATTATTACTACTACAAGTAATACTAATAATCGTAATAATCGAAATTATCACAATTAAAAAATAAAAATAAAAATCACACAAAATATTGCTTTCAGCACAAACTAGGTTTATCCTCAATGGAAGAAAAGTGAATCCATATTAAATGAATTCTGAGTTGGATTTGATTGTTTTTCCATGCAATATTTTGTTTTTTAAAATAATAATTCAAAAATTATTATAAATAATAATAATAATAATTCAACCTTAACCAGAATTTAATCACACAAGCAAACAAAAATGTTTGTAAAGGTAAACATTTAAATTCCATTCAATTTCAAAAATTGTCTAGCATTCCACAGCATTTATATAATATATAAATAAAAATTATAATTTAATTATATTATTACATGTAACAATAATATTAACTTCTTCTTATTATTATTACTACTAGAATAATACTAATCATCATAATAATTTATTTTAATCAAAATTAAAAAATAAAAATCACACAAAACACATTGCTTTCAGCAAACTAGGTTTATCCTCGATGCAAGAAAAGTGAATCCATATTTAATGTATTCTGGGTTGCATTAGATTATTTTTCCATGCAATATTTTGTTCTTTTTCTTGTTCTTTGTTCAATATTTTCAGATTAGACATTGCCTAATCTGGGTAGCTTCCATAAGAAACAGATGAATCTATGCCAAAATACTGTCAAGTTTGAGTAGATCTACAACCTTTAACAACAAAGGTTTTGGATAAGCTGAAAAGTCTGTTTATTTTGCCATCATATCTACGCACAATTAGATTTTATTATTTGCATTTGGCATTGTTTTTTTTCCAGCTGTCCCTGCTATCAGATCTGAACTATATTCAACCCTTCGAGAACCACTGAATTAGATCACTTGTTTATTGCATTACAAGCAAAATGCAAATATAGAGAGACCGATTTAGATTACAAGCTGGTATAGAACCAAAGAGTAAAACTGTCGTAGGGAAGAAAATTTTTTTTAACCATGCAGGATAGTGAGTGATGCAAGTTACCAGAGAAAACCCTCAAAAAACAAAACATAACAAAAAGACGAGACTTCAACTGGATTTGAACAATATTCAAAAGCAGAAATCGGTATGAGGAAGGCGGTATTTTTGGTGTGAGAGACTGTCTCTGATGTGAAAATAAGGCGTGCACCGAGAGGTTAATTCGAGGTGGTTTCATTTGCATCATTTTGCAACATGTCCTGCCATTTCCTCAAGGGAAACCTCACTCATGTCTGTCACTGTCACAGCATCAGATCAGATCAGAACTTAAGACAGTCATTCATGCACAGAGCTTGATCATCTAGTCGCTGACTGATCCAGCACAATCAGACATAAACAACGTCTAAATGAATCAATGCTTCTAACCAGAGAGCATCAGATTCAATAAAAGTCACATACAATTACCCTTTTACTGAGACACTGCAAAGAGCGCACAGAATGAAAATTGCTTCTAACAGTGAGCTTTTCATCAATGGCCTGCACTTGAATAGGACAAGAAAAACGATCCTCGGCTTGGCTGGAAACAAGAGCACTCTTATCTCCGGTCACTTGGGTTTAAAAATATGTAGTCATGTTCATGAGGCCTGCAGTCAAGCATGGATGCCAGGTTTATCTAATCAGAGATGCACTTCTTATGGTTGTGACTTTAAAAATGGGAAGGGGGAAAAATGCAGGTAATGAAATTCCTAACACTTTGGCTGAGTAGATTCATCTAAGCATCTATAAACCACTAATACATTACAGGCAGAGACTTTATTCACAGCACACAAAGCAATTATTCACAACACCCTGAAATACTATGGTGTCATACATACCTGCTAATGTAATTCCAGACAGTAAGCGGAAATAGAAATCTTAATAAAGTGAGAAGGAACTAGATTCAATCGCATGGATTTCTCCATTGGAAACAATAGCACTTCTGCTCCAGTGCTTTAGACCTTTACTTTTAGTTTAGTGTCTTAAAATAGCACCTGTCAAAATACCAGCTTATCAAAAGACAACTCACAGGCTTCATCAGAAACATTTCCTACAGTCATAACGGCCCTATTTTTAGCCTCCACAATAAGTGCCTATTTTCATTAGCACTAATTTAATATCTCAAAATGCATTGACTGCAGGTCTGGTTGCTTGAAACACTGATGAAATAAAATAAGCAGTCACATATTGATCTGTAACAGTGGTTGAGAGAATGGGCATTATGGCACACACATTATAAAAATGCTGTCTGAATAGGCAGCTCACTAGGTCGACAAAGCCACGTTCTTTCAGCTCATCATTCATACTTTCTTCATACCAGCACAACTCGTGAAAAATGAAACCTCCGCCACTCCTCCTCCTTATTGTAAACAACACTGTGCAATCATATGGCACTTTCATGCGGAAAGGAAAGCGAATTTTTCTTGAAGTAGCCTACGTAAAGCACTTGTTCATTCTTTTACAAATTGCATTTATAACGGCTCGCGCGTATGTATACTGGTTTCTGCCAGCAACGTATGAATGAATATCAATAATGATGAATACAATTTTATTGTAACCTCATGTTCATTTAGGCTACAAACTTGATCGTAAAGACACGATGAAGGACAAAACATCACATATGTTCCGAATTTTATCGTCAAGTCCCATGATAAAGTCTTGTTTGTAGATGACACTTACCCTGGATGTTCCAGCTGGAGCTTCGTCTTCCCAGCGCGTACGATGTACTACAGCCTGAAATATCTTTAAGTCTGCGCATGCGCGACAATCAGTAACGGATGGGGGAACCCAGTGACGTAGCCATGATGACACGTGACTGCACAATGCGCATTTTTTTTGTCAGTTCAGTATTTATGTCCTTTATCGCTTTATGTGTGTGTTTCAGAAAGCCTATGTAGCAACTTTGGAGTGTCAGTCAAAAATGTGCATACACGCGCTCTTTCGTTATTTCTACATAAAAAATATAAAATAATTAGTACGAAACATAAAGTAAATTAATTATACTATTTATTGTAATTATATAATTATATTACATTTATTTATTAAGTATATGTACATCATAAACATTAACATGTGATGTTTAATTTGTAAATAGCAATATAAATTATAATAATTATAATAATATAAATTTTACTTTATGATTAAGCAGTCTATCTTTCTGTATTTCATTATGTAGGCCTATGCATTTCACTAGTGTATAATTCCATCTAAATGAAAGAACAGTTTTGTACATTCATTTTAAATTCACATTCAAAATTATCCATGAAGTATGCAATTTCTAACCATGTAGGATGCTGATACTTTATTTTATGGTTAATACAAATATCCAGATTTTGGCTAGATTTGAGAAACATTGAAATGCTTGTAGAAATCTATATCAATTGGAAACAATAAATTTTTATTGGAACAATACACTGCATCGAGACAAAATCATTTATGCGCACATACAGCATATTTATTGGTGTGAAAACAAATCAGGCTGTGTGGAGAGCAGCAAGTTTCTTAGGTAATTCAACAGAGAAAAAGAGCAGCTTGTCCATCTTCAGACCCTGTCCCTCAGTTTGCTGCAATCCTAGGTTCATGTATTTATTAGACTGGTCGTATACAGGCCAATTCACCAGACTGGGCCCATTTGGTGAGCTGTAGAAATAAAATATTAATTTAATGAATAAAGGATCATCTGTGACAGATCCTAATACTCTAATGTACTCACCCAGTACGAATGAAGTTAGCCCAGTATCTCATTACAGTTCTGCATAGTTGGTTTTCCTCCTCACTGAGTGCTCCTGTGGATTATAAAGAGTTGATAACCCCATCGTACTTCATCATACCCATATTCACTTTTGTTGCAATATTTCAAACCCCTGCCAGAATAATTGTCCAATATAATAATAATAATTAGCCTGGGCAAACAAGTTCTTAGATCTGCTTACCTTCAATTCTGACATGGCCATCCCAAAAGCAGGCACCAAACACAAATCCAACGTCATCAGCGTGGTCAGACTTCACAAAGCTGGGTCTGGTATCTTTATATATACTGGGCCGGTGCTGAAACTCATACATATACACAGGGACTCCAGCATCTGTGAAGTTATAACATAGGGTGCGGGTTAAAGCCAACCAACAATGAAACGAAAATTTGCCAGTAACAATGCAACCAACCTCTGTGGTGAGACGCAACCGTGATGGAGGGTATCACAATAAAAAGATCCCCCATCATCTTAGTAAATGCGTCGCGAATATCCTCAGGAGTTTTAGCATCTTTTAAGTATTCTTCTACAATTAATTCGTTGACTCCTGATGTCTATGAGGGCAGAGAGAAAGTGTATTTTACAGTCTTCTGAATGGTATTTTGTACTATGTCCACTAGAGTGAGACAAATACTAACAAATTAGTCAGACTGAGTTAATCCAAATACATGCATTTGCAGATTTTATCTACAGGTAAATCACTAGAAATCATCTAAAAAGAAGGAAGAATTCTTCGAGCTTTACACCAGCTTTGTTGACCATGTCCAAAATTGCTTTCACTGATTTTGTGTCCATCCCTTTAACCCATTCTTGTGAGACCAAGGGCTGAAAAAAAATTTTATATATAAATGAGCACATCCTGTTCAGCACCGTGTATTGTTTGTGGGTTTCCTATTTCATAATAGTCATAAAGGGTTGTAGACCATTTGTTCCATTGCACTATTCCATACAAAAATATTATGACACTTACCTGAGCGAGCACCCATCCAAATTCATGGTTTGTTGTACCGACAAGAATTGGAACTTTATGGAAGTCTTTGCTCTTTATTAGCTCCTCAGCTGGAGCTTTAAGAAAGACCCCATCAACTGCTGCTCCAGGGAAAATATGTTTCTAGGGAAATCACTTGGTTTAAGAAATTAATTCATTCTCTCTTCAATCTGTACATTTATATGAAGTCTATCTCTAGATCTTAGCAGGGTTTTTTTTTTCATGAAATACTGGAAAGCATCTTACTTCAAATTCTCTGCTCCTACCTTTTTAGTTACATTTATGATCTGTTCCTCGGTCAGTTCTTTTATGCATTTGACCAGCACTTCAGAAGAGCTGAAGTCACACTCAGTAACATTTGCTACCACCTGGTCAAACAGATTACAATCAGCCTTCTTCTAAACATTTAAAATATATAAATTATCCAACATAACGTCATTTCAATGTGAATTTTCAACTGATCCAGTTAACAAATATATATTCCAAGAACTTATTGCTAATGTTCCCATTAAGTTATGAAAACGTTATTCCTCGATGTTCTCTGAATGTATGTTATGTTCCTGTCATTGCATTATTGACATGTATTTATGTATTGTTTACGTGTCTGAAACCAAATTGGCTTCAGGGAAATAAAAACAAACTAAAGTGAACTGAACTTAACAAATATTTTTTTTTATATCTGACATCATTACAGATTCCCTTAAAAGGATAATTCACCCAAAAATGATTCTATCATCATTTACTCACTTGTTCCAAACTTTATTAATTTATTTAGTCTGCTGAACACAAAAGAAGATATTCTGAAGAACTTTAGTATCCAAACAGTTCATGGGCCCTATTGACTTCCATAGTATTTCCCCCCATAACTATGAGGCCCATCAACTGTTTGGTATATTCTTCAAAATATAGGCCTATTCGTCTTTTGTGTTCAGCAGAAGAAAGAAATTCATACAGAGGTTTGGAACAACTTGAGGGCGAGTAAGTGATGACAGAATTACATTTTTGGGTGAACTATCCCTTTAAGAAACTATTGAGCAGTACACATTGATTGTTGTTTTGGGTAAAATACCTGGGCAAACATCAGCGGGTCTTTGATGGAGTAAGTTGCCATGGTTGCTACTCCACTCTGAAAGATGGCTCTGTGAAACAGACCCTTAGTCATGGGTGACAATGTCTAAAAGTCCACAAGAATACATCTTTAGAATACATTTAACCCTTGCATTGAACTTTACAAAGAATCTATTGTTGAGTAATATATTGATTTAAAGGGGTGATGAACTGAGAAATCAAAATTTTTTATGAGGTTTTGACAAACGACTCATTTTTCAAAGTGGGGAACTAGGACGTCAACGAGGATAAAAACACCAACCCTACTTCAACACGGCCGGTTTAGCCCCGCCCACTGATTCGCGCATTACGCGTATAGTCAAAAAACATAGATGCCTACCTCGTGATGACAAACCGGATCCAGCTACCGAGTTTTCAAAATTTTGTCCTGTGCCTGGTTGTGGAAGAAGACAGTCGCTGCATAAGCGAATGAGTTAACTCATTATAATATGCAAAACTGTTATCCACTCACAGCAGGGGGGAAAACTTACTTCCAAGTCTTCAATGCGAGACGCCCATTAAAATCAAGCGTTTTTGAGCTAGGCTCAAAACTAGGGTAGAAAATAGCCTATTTAATATATTCATTTTGATGTTCTTGAATGTAAAACCAAGCAAACGTCATAAGTTGACCTCAGACAACAATATAAAAAAATTTAAAAGCCAGTTCATGACCCCTTTAACAACTTGTATTCACATTTCCAAATGGGGCCCAGAGGAAGTGGCCTGGTCCTACCAGACTCTTGTACATTTCATTTGTACTGAAGGAAAATGAAAATTGAGCGGAAGTACGAAGGAGGGCGGAGCTACCGAGGAAGCCCAAAGGACCCCAAAGAACTTACCGTTTTATTCTGCTTTCTAAACACTGATACCCAGCAGATACATACTTAAAAATAGGCAACAATGAACTGTGAAATGTTGCATTGCAAATATTGACTGACTAGAAAAGAGCTACTGATTCCTCCTGCAGACTCTCCTGCTATGGTGACAGACTGGGCGTCTCCTCCGAAACCCTCGATGTTTTGCTGCACCCACTGTAAAGCTGCAATCTGGTCTAGGAAGCCCCAGTTTCCTTGTGCAAACTTATCGCCTGTGCTAAAACCAGAAGCATATTTGATTATAACCCAAACCCACCCAGCAGAATCAGTGTCTTCAGTAATTCTTAAAGAGACACTTTTATCCATAAGTGAATACCTGAAGTATCCTAACATTCCAAGTCGGTACTGAATGACAACCACAACTACGTTCTCATAGGCCGCCAATGGGGATCCGTCATACACGGAAGCTCCGCTAAAGACCAGGGCTCCTCCATGAATCCAAACCATTACCTGTTGGTTTGCATACGTTGAAATTGTCAGAATGGTAAGCAAAATTATAAATAAAGCATAGGAAAGTTCTACTGTGTGACAAGTTTAGATGAGAGTAGCCATAATTCAGTACTCACTGGATATTTTTCTGATTCTAATCTTTGAGAAGGAGTGTAAACGTCAAGATACAAACAGTCTTCTGAGACTCCTGTGGTGGTGTAATTCAACTTCAAGGCCTTTGCAACTAAAGGCTCAATATCTGGGTTTTGAAGGCACCTACAATGCAGCAAGAGAAGAAAATTGGCTAGGTAAAAGGAAATCTGAGCTCTGAAATGGTTTATATAACTTTAATATGTTGTAGCGGTCGGAAACTTATGACTCGCGGAGGGACAAACACAGAAGTGCGCACCTCCGACCATGTTAATGTGTGGTAGGATCTGTTAGAATCGCACTGTTTAGTAGTATTTATAGATCCTCCTAATTTAATAAAACAGGCTGTGTGACCTTAAAAAATTTACATTCGCCCGCAAGTTCAGGGAATTTTATTTCAATGAAATACATACATATCTTTAGCTATGGTCATGTGCCTGTGATTATCCCTCCGTGTTTCAATGTCGACACGTGTCTTGCCGACCCCAGATATAGTGGTAGCAGTGGTGGATAACTGTAGTCCTCTTTACTAACGTAGTCTATTACAATATGCATTAAATCAGACTACTTTTAGATTACTTTTGATCCGACTCATTTGTCACTTATAGTACAGATCTGTTTTCAGTTATTGTTATGACTATATAGCAGAACTCACATTGGAGAGTGCTGAGTGGCATTTCTTATTCCTTCCCATCCCTGTACAGGTGCAGGTGCAGCCAGGCGGAGCGGACCAACAGGTGGCTGTGCAAAAGGAATCCCCAAATATTGCTCCACCACCTTTTCAGAGCCTTTAACCTTCACATATTGCCCACGGACACTGCCATGCTTCAGAACGACCACCGGCCCAGAGTCTGCACACACGCCAACAGAAATATGACATAAACACATATTCTTTAATTGATTTAAAAATTATTTCAATGTACAATTTCCGATATTATTTAAAAAGCAATATACTATGAAAAACTTGCCTGTCTGTACAGGGGTTGTCCAAACAGGGGCCAGGGTCAAGCACAGGCAGAGCAAAACTTCTTTTATCATAGCTGTTCTTTCCTCAAATCCTCAAGCCTGACTCAAGCTTCAGGCTAATAAAGACCTCACAAAACAGGCTCAGTTACAAAATACTGCCCTTTAACCGGTTCCTACTTTACCCCCTAAAACAAATTAACTGTTGTACACAGTGGAATCCCTGGACTGAGGAGACAAACAAATCAATTTCCTGTAAATAATTATGACTAGTTTAGAATTTGTATGTCACAAACTTCCTGTTACGTTTACACGAAACGGAGATGTTTTTAGAGTTTTCCACACAGAGGTGACACCATTGTCAAAACGATCCCCATCCGCGAAAAAACAACAAAAATCATGTGTTCTACTTCTGCTGCCAGGCCATTAGATGGCGATGAATAGACTGAACACGGATATATAACGCCATCTTCTTGAGAGATTTGCGTTTTTGTTGTTTACACGTTTTCAAAAAATTTGGTTTTGTAGGAGCCCTAAACACCGTTGTCGTGTAAACAAACAGCCAAAACGCATAAAATTTTTTACGTTTTTAGTTGAAAATGATGTTGTGGAAATAGCCCCTTATTACATATATAATAAAGGCTTTGTTATATGCTTAGTTAGGCCAACCTGTTTTCATTTGTTCCAGTTTCCGCTCCTTGTTTGTTATGAGTCACCTGTTCCTCATTTGAGTTCAAACCTTGTGAATTTAAGTTCCTCCATTTCATTCAGTTTGTCTCGTATTGTTCTTGTGTTTGTGTGCAACATGACGTTAAGTTGCCTTCCAGGTAACGTTAATTCAAATGCAGGATTCCTGCATTTGAATTACCTGAGTTTGTTTATTGAAACCTGTTTTTCATCATCATGATCTGGACCAGATCGTGACAATGTCTCTACTAATGTGTTTGTTTGTCAGTGACAATCGTTTCTTTTTTTCTTTTTATTTTATAAACAGTTGTTTGACTTACTGGCATAGGCTAACAGTCAAGGTCTGGTTAATTGGTAACATAAATACTACAAGTTCAAGCATTGGAGAGGCATTGATCTACAAACAGGGGATCTCAATCCTATTTAAGTATGAACTAGTATGAAGTTTCTGTGAAAATGAAAACGAATTTTAATGGTGTAAATTTTAACCAGCCAAACTGAGGTATCTAGAATTATTCAAGAAAACGGATATACCTGTATAATCATTTGTCATTTTGACTCATCTCTTTTCTTAAAATGGTTTAAAGGCTTAAATGTGAGGTTTATGTACGTTTCTTGTCAAAATGTTTGAACATGTAATACATTATGATGTAGCCTAAGTAACTTAAACAACATTTGATGTTAATTTAAAATCTGTCCATTGTTGCTATATTGCAATTATTTTAATGTTTTTGCAAACCAGCAGTGCATAGTGCTATTTATTTTATTTGTTGGTTTGTGTCGTACGAAAAAAGAAGTATACTTTGAGTTCATTTTATTTCAAGTCAAGATGTACTACAGTATGTGTCCTGAGTTTGTCACACCGCAGAAAAATGTGTTATTAGCCACCCAGCTAAATTTGAATGATAAAAAGCTGGCAAGTACTACATAAAATAAGCTATCAAATCTTGAAAAAATTGGCATTAAGCCGTGTGTCCACCAAAGCGTTTTAGCTAGCAAAAAGTGCTATACACACTCTGCTGAAGACGCAGTAAAGTAACTAGTACTGACAGTAGGCTAACTCGCGATTGAGCGCCAAGCTGATAGGAATGTGCACCATGGTGGCAAATCAATGCCTAAAATAACCGAGAGCGATGGTGCCATAGTTTCTTTATTGTTGGGGGAGGGGCCAGCCTCAGGGGCTCCAGTGCGTCATCGAGCCGTTTTAGCCCCGCCCAAAGAAATCCGGAAAATAGTAACGGTCTAACTCCACAATTCAGTACTTCACAGTCATCAAAAAAAGGTTGAGTACACGTACAGGCCAAATTAGACCTTTCTGTCAGTGAAAGTCAAGTATACTTAAGTTAAATTTACTTTCTTATTTTTAGTTTACAAGTAGTATACTAATAGAACACTTAAATAAACATCTTTTTCGTAACATCACATTTAACAATACCATGATAACCATCATTTTGGTCACTATAATGGTGAAATAAAATTATAGTCCTCCATTCTAAAAAACAAAACAAAACAACAAGTGATTACAAAATGACAAAAAAAAAAAAAAAAATGTGGCTGCAGCTTTTGAAATTTCTCTTAATTATCATGTTTTTTCAAAGCTACATTAAATATTAATTAATTTAATTTATATTAGAACATATTAATTTGGTGTGAAGAATATTGTAATAATCTGAAGAATATTTGTTTAATAAGCTATAAACAATGTTTTCAGCAAAAATACATAGAAGGGCCTTCATGGAGTATTTATTATTTTGTCAAAACATTTTATTTGTCTTTATTTTGTTATTCTACATGACTGTCTTTGTTGAGTGGGTTTGTAATGAACGCTGTGGACATGGCCATTCTTTACAGGAAAGTAAATTTGTTTATTTTTAAATGTAAATGTAAAATGGTTATTTTTAAATAAATGTTTGAAGAGTTGTGTCTTTTTTTAATATTTTACACATACTAAATATAATTTGAGGTATGCATCGGTTTGACTATATGTCCAGAATTAATTTATTCAAGCATTTTTTTCTTAAAACCACTGTATAACCTTCTAAAGAGGCAGAGCGCACTCTAGTGGCTTCATCTTGTTGCATGGCCTGATTTTGCAAACTTTGTTGTTCCTGGAATAACACACTCCTGTCCAAAAAAGTAATCCTAACCATATCCCTACCCCTGAACATAAACCTACCCATAAGTTATCCCTAAAATGAGGGGGAAATGATAGGTGAATAACACAGACATAGAAGCACTTAAACCTGGTTGTAAGCCTAACTTGACATATAAACAGTCATTAAAATCTGATTGCTTGATTTGAATGTTGTTCGAGGATCAACAAAGAAGTGTTTCTGTTCAATGTCTCCAGCTTTAATTTATTATGTGTCATTTAATTTATTATATGGAATCCTTTTCTGTGTCTTGATTTCATCATGTTTAATCATCAAAGGCAAGATGAACAATGTTCCTCCATTATCAAGATTAACAAAACAAGCATTGATCTTATTGATAGCCTAGTTAACAGTCCTTATAACAACACATAAATGCATCGTGGTGTTCTTTTTTGTGTGTTTGGCATGTAATTATGGTTGCTCCATAATTTTCAGGTTAGATGTTGCATGACACGGTTGATGTACTTCTTGTCTCATGTTCAAATGCTGGTCTTCGAGGAATGTGTCTATTAAGTCATCTCACTACAACCATGGTGGCTTCTACTGTAAGGATAAGAGTTTTTTGTTGGTCACTAGATGGAAGCAGTGAGTTTTTGAGGAGGCCACAGTGTCAGCATATGTGTTGCCAGCACCATTCTCACTTTTTGGGTAATTATACCATGAATGACAGCTATAATTGTATGACTTTTTGTATTTCATTAACTACCACTGAACATTTCACAGGGGAATTGTAGTCACAATCCCATTTAAAGTAGGCTAGACAAGTAAAACGGAATAGTATTTTTGATCCCTGTGTGAGGGGAAATTGCAATGGCAATAAACAATAAAAATAAAGTGCTCAAATGATACAATAGACAAGGAAAAATAATAAAAAAATTTAATTTTGCGGCAAAATATGTATTATCTTAAACTAAGAAATTACAACAAGGGCAGCAATAATAATAACACTAATAATATAAAAATGTTGTATTATTATTTATATTTGTATTAATAATAATAACATAAATTCAATAATATTAGTAAATTTATGTTAATATATGTAAAAGTAATACTTACATAATAATTAGTAATATTAATAATAATAATATCATTAATAGGCCTATATTGCCCATATTTTATAGCTAATACTAACAATTGAATAACAAAATTGAATTCGTTGATAGAAGTAATACGTAATGACAATTTCTGTTGTTATTAAAGTAAGTAGGTATAATAACTTTATTACATTTTGAACATCCCGTTTAAAATTCGCCGTACATACTCTTGCTCATAATACCAAAGAAAATTGTTTTGCATGCAAACGACACGAGGCATACATTTCACGCCTTGCATTGATGGGGATCGAGGGTTGCTTGAGAGCGCGGGCGCAGTGAGGAGCGTGCGGCGTGGCATCATACGCAAGGGGCGTGACGGAGGCGTGTCATAACATTACAGCGCCACTGTTTCATGTGTCGATCGAGCCCCGTTGAGAACTGCGCTGTCTCTGTGCTTCACCGGAGTAGACATAAACAAATTATTAAAAGCTACAGGTTTAGTTTTCTCCAGCAAACGTATGCGCTGTCACCGGCAGAGAGTGTGTTTCGGCTAACGAAGAGGATAGATCGCGAATCTGGGAAGACGTTGAAAAGTAACTAAGGCTCACTCGGCCACAGGTAGCTCTTTCAGCTCTGAATATCAAAGTACAGGTCATGCGGGTGTCTCCGGCCGGACAGAGAGCTGTGTTCCAGTGCTGCTGTTACTGCTAGTCTCCCCGGTGGACTGATCGCTTTTGCCGCAAGCTGAGCAGGAACGACGGAATAAGCATGTCTCGAAGAAAGCAGAGCAAACCCCGGCAGATCAAACGTAAGCGTTTAAAGTTTCTCTAGTGCAAGTGCTGTTGTTGTGAATGGTGACTCATTGTAAAAAGTGTGTGACATTATTCATATGACGGGATATCGTTGTTTTTTTTTGGAGCGCTGCTCAACAATTTCGTGGAAACTGACAAGATATTTCTAATAACACGAGACGAATGGGTAGCCTACACTTCAGATGTGTGGCCGGTCTGTTCAAATAATCCTTGTGTTTTGGTGGTTTCAAGACAGTAGAAAATTAGTAATAGCTAGTTACAATTGCCATAGTAACCCCAGTAGCTTTCAAGACGCTCAGCTCTTTTTGTAAAAGCGCACGGGGCACGTGAACGGGGCTGAACAAACTCGCGCTTCATTTTTCAAACCCAGTCGAGATAATTGTGTTTAAATCCGTTTTATTTTACTTTTTCATTTGTCAAAGTGCTTTCGTCTGCTCCAACCGAAGTGTAACCGTGGCTTCCTGTTTAATACTGTTGTGGAAACGTCACTGTTCTCTGAAAAAGACGATATGAGTTCAGATAAACAGTGATCCGATCCCAGTCGAGATAAGGATTAAAATTGGATCTTTTATTTGTTTTCTGTCTGTGGCTGCAACGACGCTGCTGTTGCATTTTCCTTCGGCTTTTCAGTTCTCTTTCCAGAGATGAGACGTCAGATAGCGCGTGCAGCTGATCTCTCCACATTATAGTGGATTACAATTGGATCTTTTTTTTTTTTTCATCTATCCATTTTAACTCCAATGTTCAGACACACAATAATTGGACTTAAAATTGATTGTTTTTGTGATTGAATGCAATATTTTATATTATTTGGACTTCCACGTTGCTCCAAACCTGTGACTTTCTTTTTATTGTGGAACGTAAAATGATACATTCGGAAGAATATATTGGTTGCTCTTTTCCATACAACGACAATGAATGGTGGCTGAAGATGTAAAGCCTCCAGAATGACACAAAATGATCCTAAAAGCAATTTATGTTTCTGAAGCTGAATATTCAATATAAACTGTTGTCACTTTCCTGTGAAAAGCAAAGTTTGAGTATCCATGAAATCGTTAATACACATCATGATTCGACTGCTAAATATAGCAGGCTCATCGATCCGTTTAACAGCTCACTGGAGGGGAATATTAATAGGCAATAACAACTGTTTCTCACACAAAGCAATACTTTAACATTAACATTTAACATTGTTCAAAATTAACATGATTGTAAGTTACATCCTTGCCATCTTCAGTCACCATTCATTGTGATTAGACAAGAGCAATTTTTTTGACATCCACTAGTGAAGGAAAGTCATAAAGGTTTGGAAAAACAACATGAGGGTGACCAACACTTTTGGTCAAAGTAACCTTTAACATTTTGTGGTCAATAAAATCATAAGGTAAAAATCAAATTCATTGACCCCTGTCTCTCCCTCTCTTTCTCTGAAAAGAACCAACGGTGCTGAAAAGTCGTTTTGCTCCGGTGCCAGGCGCTGTTTCAGTTCTTCATCCAGAAGAGATGCTTTCAGGCGATAAGCACAGTAGCAATATCTTGGAGGTTGAGTTTGAAAGGGCTGCTCAAAAAATAAATAAATATTAATGCGATTCAAAGGCAGAAAGCGACTCTTGAATAGGAAAGAAAAAATGGGCTGATAAGGCAACATTAGCATATACCACTGAGTGTAAACGGGCGGTATCAAGGTTTGTTTAAGTGACTGGAGAGTTATACGAGCACGTTGGCCAGTGACAATGCCAGTGACCTGCTGACCCATGAAGTCGCTCCCTTAATTGAGATGTCTTATCTGATATATAAAGCTATCTCTGGTTGGTTTCCGGAGAACTCATATTCCTACCTAGAGGCGAAGTGGTGCGAATGGTGGAACCAGCTTTACTTCTGTTGTTTTGAACAATTCAGAATAAACATTTCACATCTGGTGTTCGCCAACTCCACGAGTCCCCCATTGACGTCTCATTAGACTAATGATGAAGATGGTGGGAAAGTATCTCAGGTTTGGCTGGAGATTTCCCTAAAGGTGAGTTCCCCCACCACGAAACTCTGGAACGCACGTGAACATCACAACGCCCCTCTTATCTTACCCTTTTTTGCATATGTAAACGTCAAGACGATGGCGTGTAATATAATAAATGCACGATTGCATTGTTGTGTTACACTCTTACTGGAAGGATTACAATCCCGGCCCCTCTAAAAGAAGGTATCCGGTATCATGGAAGTCTATGTTGAGAGGAAATATTTTTGTGTGTCTTTTGTGCGTCACTCTCCCAATGGTGAAGATCGTGCTGATAGATTATCCATCCCTCCCTGATGGCGAGATTAGCTCGCGGCCTAGCGGGGCCACATCCCAGGGCTTATATTTTGGCAGTTGAGATGGGAGACAAGATAGGTGAGACGCCGGCGATCTCTGTGGAGATAGAGCCAACGTCGAGGGGGGTTTGGGGAAATTGGGATTATAATTACATTTGGCTGAAGCTTTCTCATCTTTGTCATGTTTGTGTTGTTGTTTGGGACTGGTTGGGTGTATCTCTAGATAAGTTTAAAAAAAGAGAGAGGAGAAAAGCAGATAAGGGGAGAGTAGGATGGCAGGGCTGATAAGGGCTGGGGGAGAGAGGCAGGAATACAGAAATGGTAGATGGGTGTACGCCGCGTTTTAAAAGCAGCTGCCTCAGTTAGATGGCAGGGCCCGATAAAGAGAGCCGTTGAGATGATTGGGAGATAACGGGGGAGATTCTCACAGATAACAGCCAAGTGACATCATTGGAACGGCGTGAATTATTCATGAGCTCCCAGAATTTGGCGTCAGCGGCCGGAGGATGTTTGAGAAGCTGGGGCCAGACAATGCACTTGTTTGAGTTACCACCTCCTGTACCTTGGGCTTGCACTTTTGAAAGTGTGGACAACTGATGGGATCTCTTCCTGTTTTTGCTGAAAGCATTCTCAGAGCTTTCGCTGCTGTCAGGTTCAGCGTCTCGGGGTCATTTGACCCGAGGGCTAGTTAAACGCTCAGCCCAAAAATATCGAAAAGAATGAGAGATCACAGGCTTTCGCTCACATATTTTCACACATACGCACTTGCGTCGTGGTGGTTTTGCTTGTGTGTTTTCCTTCTTTGTTCTGCTTTTAGCTCGATGTGAACTTTTGATAAAGCCTGGGGCCTGATCTCCGGTACAGATAGAGATCGCCAAGTGTGATAAGAGTTGTTATCAGCACAGAGCAGGCAGGAGCTGAGGCTTTGCTGCAATAACAAAGCTACACGTAAGAACAGCAGGGCCCCGGACCCTGGCAATCAGTTCCAGCCTTAATGTGATTAATGTTGTTGTATAATTAGATGATAGGTGTGAATGCATTTTTTTTTTCCCCTTTAGTTACTCCCCACCCTCTCTCGGTTCCCACACTTGTGTTTTCTCCTAACAACCATTGTAGTTGATTAATTTAATTAAAACTAATTCCACATATTACTCACTGTAGATCTTGTGTTAGATAGCATTGAGATGCAGGTTTTTTTTTTTTTGTTCATCGATGTTAATCTGTGTGGGGTGCGTTTTGGTGAAAAACAGTGAAAAAAAAAGTATTCAGCGCTAGACCTTGCGAAAGGAAACAAGAATGTGGCGTCAGCAGTATGGCTGAAATGTTGATTTGCAGTGAGATATTAGATACTGAGAGATAGTGGGTGCAGTGAACACTGTGAGAAAGTCATAAAGTTTTTAGAATGAGTTGCAAAGCCAAGGACGACTTTGATAAAAAAAATTATAATCAATTTTTCTAGTATCTGATAATATTTAAAGCATGGTTAAGGTCTTCAAAGTCCTGCTTTTAATGATTATTGTTCAATAAATGCATCATGTTTCTAACTGTGCTTATTGGTATTAATAGCATGTTAGAATGAAGACTACGGCAATTATTTTTATTTATAGTGTCTGACACTATTTATTTTAGGACTGTCAAACGATTAATCGCGATTAATCGCATCCAAAATAAAAGTTTGTGTTTACATAATATGTGGGTGCACTGTGTATAATTATTTTGTATATATATAAATACACACACATGCATGTATAATTAAGAAAAAAATATTATTTATGTAAAATATTTATATTTATATATAATATTAATTATATATAAATCTATATACATGAAAATATTTCTTAAATATATACAAGCATGTGTGTAATATATATATAAAATAATTATACACAGTGCACCCACATATATTAAACACAAACTTTTATTTTGGATGCGATTAATCGCGATTAATCGTTTCACAGCCCTAATTTCAATATTTTCAGCATCATTACTCCAGTCTTCAGTGTCACATGATCCTTCAGAAATCATTCTAAAATGCTCATTTGGTGCGATCGAAACATTCTAATTTTTAAGAAATGGCATAAAGACTTTATTGCACAAGAATTTGTTTCTGATTAAAGATTCTTACAGATTACTCTAATGGCTGTGATGTTTTATGTTAGTTTATGGTGCTGTGTACTTTCTTGTAAGCCGATAGACATATTTTGTTGATGTAAGAATTTTTATGTATCTCTGTGCGTGTTGTTTTCTGCAGACACAGATCTCACTCAATCATCAACTTGCTGAAAGCTCACATTTTTATCTAAAACTAAAGTCCTCAAATATAAATATTTTCAACATGGAAAATGGTGTATTTATTCTAAAGCTAATATTCTATAGCTAATTTGTCCTATTATATCTTTATTTATTAGAGTTTTGTGTAGTATGTTGATTAATACAGCTTGGTGATGTTCTGATTGGTTCAGCCCATGAGCTCTCCTGATTGGACGAGAGAGAGCTTGCAATATGTGGGCTGAAAGTGATGTCAAAAAGCTGTAACTGTTGATTAGAATTTACTGTTTAGGAAGTGTCTGTTGGTTGCTACAGTGTAAGGAAAAGCTTTTAGGTGTTTTGATGAATTATTGCTCTTTCCTAATGTTTACTCCAGAGGAAGTCGAGTGAGTTATGATAACTGGTCCCTCATTGACCCATT